GAGGCAATCAATTGATGTGTCTCTCTCACATTGATGTTTCTCTCTCTGTCTCTCCCCCTCCCTTCCATTCTCTCTAAAAATCAATGGGGGGAAAATATCCTCAGGTGAGGATTAACAAAACCAAAACAAACAAAACTGAAACAAAATTCCAGGCAATGGAGCATACAGTAATTAATTTTATTCTCTGCATCATAGCCTAGAGTTCTGCTAAGTTCCGTAGTTGTTATTTATAGCTTCATATATGGGATATTTTTAGAAAACAAAACACCCGCACATGTCATATAATTCTCTACCATAAATCCATAAAGAGTATATTTAATCAAAGTTATAGAGGGCTCACAGAAAAAAAAGCTCTTATATTAGAAGACTGGGGTTTGTATTCCACTGTACCATTTTTTTCCAGTGGCCTCTAATTCTTCCAATATCTTGTGGGAAACCAAGTGACAGTTCTTACCCCAAACAGGAAAAGGCAAAAGATGGCTTGGGACTAGGGAGCTAGGGAGCTCTGAATCTTATTTCACAGCTGCTTAAATTGCATCAGTCTCTTTAATTCTCTTAAATGGTCACCCTGGCTAAATTTTATATCCGCATTCAGCGCTATCATTTTATTATCTTGTCCTTTGTGGATACATGTAGTGACTCTGAATGGCCTTATCCTTTAGCCAGTGCCTGTATTTTCAATAAAAGCACCTCCACAGATGTTCATATGAGGGGCCTGCATATGCAAGCCTGGCTGGTGGCCAGCTAGGTAGATTAGGCTTTCTTGGGTGTTCCAGAAACACACAGTTATTCTTTCCACAGCCTAAAATGAGAGTTCGATTTTATTTCCTTTGAATGGGACTCCTTAATCTCCTAGTTTATCTTATGGGAAATACATTAAGATTCCTGATGAGAGCTCACGGTTATTCACTCTTTCTTGGTCTTTCTAAAACCTAGATTAGTACACTTAAAACCATAGAACTATAATCATGGAATGAGTAAGGTTTAAATTTGAATACCAAAATGTCTGTAAAGTAGTAGTGTAAATGCTTAATAAAAATATTTTTAAAATCCCACAAAAGAAGGTAGTGTTGCAGCAAAATTCAGAGTTCCTTACAGCTCCATACATCAGCTTTGCCAGCTGTCCTGTCTTCATTGTGAAGGTGCAGGACCTGTGGGTTATCTAAGTGTCGTTGTGGGGCATTGTTGTAACATTGGTTCCTGGTGGCTGGAAATATTCACGTTCTGCATTACTTAGATATAATAGCGATTCATATCTCAGAGTGTGTCATAGCATAAAGCAATAAACGGCATCTCACTTTATCTTTGGAAACTCTTGAGTATTTTTAAAGATTTCTGATTCCCCATGGGCTCCCATAATACTTTTCTATGGCCTAGAAGTATTTTGTATTGAGGCAAAGTCACTATGCATGGAGGTCCCTCTATGTGGATGTCTCGGTGATATTTGGGGCCAGATTAATGAGACCTCAGTGTGTGAGTTAGTCATGCTTTGCTTGTGTGTGGCAGAGCATTTAGGTTAGGCTGACTGCTGGAAAAGGACCACCCAATCTTTGCAGTTGACCTAACAAGCTGCCACCAATTCCAAGAGGAAAATTCATTAATACCTTAATGAATGAGAGTTGTTTGCATTGCCTGAAAATATGTCACTACAGAATCTTTGCCTAATTTGACTCTTAGAGGGTCAGTCTGATTCCATTAGTAATTTGATAAAAAGCCGGAGCCAGTTGGCTCCAGACCAGGTGTCAGCGTGCCCCCAGCCCACCAGCTCAATGCCACGCTGTGTAATGTTGCTGTGCTCGGTAAAACAGATGTTATGATTTACTCCAGACATCCTGCATTTCATTAAGGAGTGAAGTAGTCAGTTATCTCATTCAGTTAGTTTTCAATGGACCAGTCAATGGACTGAACATGTGTGGTCTGTAAAATCTGATCCCAGGTTTAGCTTTTACTTAGAGTATATGCTTTAGAATGCCATTGCCCCCATCACTCTTACCATTTTCTCTTCTACACAGTGTGTCTCTCTGCTCTTTATATTTATAGATGAATTATTCTAAATCACATTCCCAAGGGACAATTACTTGTCATTATTTTCAGATATCAGTATTTTTCTTCTTGAAATACTATTGATCTTATAATTCAGAAGCTTGACATAATATTTAATAAGTTTATCTGGTGCAGTTAAGCCAATTTTCTCTCATTGGTTTTTTTTTTAAGGTTACAGACTGATAGTAAGACTGTGAATGTGTGCTCAAGGATGAGAGACGCTAACAGAGTACCATCTCCTGAGAGACAGCAAAGCAGCCTCTTTGGTCTGCCACTCCCAGAGTATTTCCACTCATGGTTTTGGCCATAAACATGGGATAGGTGGGTAGGCAAATGAATGGGCAGACTTACCCATTTAGCCAACCATCCATTTAGGTTCTTCTATATCTCATGTCTACTCTATGCCAATAGATAATAGATAATAATAAATGACAAACTCCTTCAGGGACTGCCTACTTTGAATATCGTGTTTCAGGATAAACTGTTCACTATATTTTTCCACACCACTTTTTTTGTTTCCAGTGCAATTCTTTTTTTTTTAATATGTTTTTATTGATTTCGGAGAGGAAGGGAGAGAGAGACAGAGATAGAAACATCAGTGATGAGAATCATTGATTGGCAGCCTCCTGCACGCCTCCTACTGGGGATTGAGCCTCATTCTCTAATGCATTTTAATTTACTCTTTTTAAAAATTAGAATTCAGTGGAATGACACATGAAAGATCAGCCCTCTTTCTTTTATTTCTTAAGTACCTTTCATTCCTTTCTCCTGCACCCTAATTAATATAAGTGGCTTCTTTCATTTTTTCTCTTCCTCCCCCCAAAGTCAGAAGAGAGCGTAGACAGTGGTGCGGTATGGAACTGTGGCCAGCACTGAGGGAGAACTCTTCTTAGTCACTTTTTCTTTAAAAACTATAAGATGTATGTCAGTTAAACTGAGCAGTATGATTACTTCACAAAATTGCATTAAAGAAAACATGTATGTGAAAGATCAGTCGGGAGCCAAAAACCAGGTATTACAGGCTTTATTAGGAGAAAGACCTGCTGGGCTGTCTCACAACGGGAGAGCAGCGGCCCTGACAGAGGTGAGCGCTCCTTTTGCGGGGAGGAATGAGGAAAGAACGGGGGCTTAGGGTACTCGGCGTGCGCTGAGAGGTGATTCAATGTAGAGTCCATATAAGGTACAGAATTGGGCCTCCTGGCATTTCCGGGCTGCAGGCCGTGTCATGATTACCATTACTCTGCCCGCCATTTCGGGGAAGAGATCTATCAGCATATAAAAAGCTTATGTGCAAATATTTTATGCTTCAGGGATTATAACAAAATTAATGAATTTTCAGGTATATTTTATATTTTCTCAGGTTTCTTTTATTTTTTAGCTTTGCTCTAGAGCAGTGATGGCGAACCTTTGGAGCTCGGCGTGTCAGCATTGTGAAAAACCCTAACTTAACTCTGGTGCCGTGTCACATATAGAAATTTTTTGATATTTGCAACCATAGTATAAAAAAGATTTATATTTTTGAATTTATTTTACATATTTAAATGCAATTTAACAAAGAAAAATCAACCAAAAAAATGAGTTTGGTGTCGCCTCTGACACGCGTGTCATAGGTTCGTCATCACTGCTCTATAGACTTAAATAGTAGTGATAGCTTATTTTTTTCAAATGTGTGATGGTTTGCAGGGGAGGAGCCTTATTTGGTAATTGTGAATAACCTGGAATACCTGGAATCATTAATAGTTTGGACAATGTTATTTTCAGTCTATCTTCATTACACTTTTCTTTGCAATAGTTAATGTATTATATATATTTATACTAGAGGCTTGGTGCATGAAATTCATGCACTCAGGGGAGTCGCTCAGCCTGGCCTGCACCTTCTCACAGTCTGGGAGCCCTTGGAGGATGTCTGACTGACGGGAGCGGGGGGAGCGGGCCTAAGCCATCAGTTGGACATCTTTAGTGCTGCTGTGGAGGCAGGAGAGGCTCCCGTCACTGCTGATGTGCACACCAGCCAGGAGCCTGGCTCAGGGCTTTTAGCTGAGTGGCACTACCCCTGTGGGAGCACACTGACCACCAGGGGGAAGCTCCTGCATTGAGCGTCTGCCCCTGGTGGTCAGTGTGCATCATAGCGGCCTGCATTCCACTGTTCGGTCAATTTGCATATTAGCGTTTTATTACATAGGATTTAATGAATTTTTATTTTAAGAATTTGCAAAGACCTGCACATAAAAATAAACACACAGGTAAATTAGAATGATTTTTAAATGGCAAAGCACACTAAACTTTGTAAGATTCCAAATATAAAATAAGTTTACCATTTGTCTGAATAGTAAATTTTAAAAGTTTAGCCTAAATTTATATTAGTTTCTAAAAATGTGGGTTGTAAAATCTAAATAAAGAAATATAGAGTGAAAATTTTCTTTGTTTTCGTTATTCTATTAAGATTTACTGCATTTCATTTTTGTCAAAATATGATAATTACTTTGTGTATTTTTCTTCTTGGTTTAGGTGCCTGAAAGTAGGATGATGTCCAATAGTTTATGATCATCAAAACCAGAAAGAATCAATTTTTAATATAATGGTTTAAAACTTTCTGATACATTCATAAAATATTTGGAATTAAATTTGGAATAAAATATTACTGTGTTCTAATTTGTATAAATACTAAATACTGGTGTGGGTTTAATTGCAATAGTACAATTAGTTATAATAGTCAAATAGTAGACTTTCATATGGGGTTATTACATTTTTTTTTTCATTTTGTTTTCCAGATATTTTACATTTTATTGATTTTATAGCCCTTTCAATAATGTGCTATACGTATCAAATCATTTGCATGGCCTGAACATATTTAATTGATTCGTATTTCTGCTTCAAAACCCAGAAGCCCCTTTTAATAATAAGTGACTCCCTTCCTTCTTTCCTTCCTACATTCCTTTCTTTCTTTCTTTAAACAGGCCTTTAGTGAGTTTGAGATAGAGCAGCATCAAGAATGTGCTTACGATCACTTGGAAGTATTTGATGGAGAAACAGAAAAATCACCAATTCTTGGACGACTATGTGGCAACAAGATCCCAGAGCCCCTAGTGGCTACTGGAAATAAAATGTTTGTTCGGTTTGTTTCTGACGCATCTGTTCAAAGAAGAGGCTTTCAAGCTTCACATTCTACAGGTCAGCAAATGAGGGCCCTGCTTCTCTTTCCTGACTAAGGGCCAGCTTTTCTTCCTGTGAATGCAGTGGGTCCCATAACAGGACCCACAACAGAGTAAATCTCACTGACGCACTGTCTAGAGCAGTGGTTCTCAACCTTCCTACTGCCGCGACCCTTTAATACAGTTCCTCATGTTGTGGTGACCCCCAACCATAAAATTATTTTCGTTGCTATGTCATAACTGTAATTTTGCTACTGTTATGAATCGTAATGTAAATATCTGATATGCAGGATGTATTTTCATTGTTACAAATTGAACATAATTAAAGCATAGTGATTAATCACAAAAACAATATGTAATTATATATGTGTTTTCCAATAGTCTTAGGCGACCCCTGTGAAAGGGTCGTTCGACCCCCAAAGGGATTGCGACCCACAGGTTGAGAATCGCTGGTCTAGAACCATGCAGCATCCGACCTAACTAGCTTTTGTCATTGATGAACATTTAGGAAGAAACCTAATAGTTTGGTCTGATTCATATTCAAATGCAGTATGATCAAGTTGAACTGCATATTTCTAAATATTTCTATAATGTATTATTAACTGTAACAATTTGATTTATATGCCATATTTAACAGATAGAAAATTTATAGTTTGGTATTCAAAAATTATGTGTTCTCTAATCCCTACTAGTTAGTTAGTTTTCGCATTAATTCATTTTTTAATCAAATTTGGGGATCATCTCTGTTTTATAGAACCTTATTTGTTTCCCTTATATTTGGCATGAAACACAGAAGTTCTGTAAACCTAATCACTAATATGATTTACACATTACAGCTGTTCTACAAGTCTTTAAGAAATAAACTATAACTTATAAAAATATGGATAATTTTAGGCAAACATGTAGAATAGTATTTTTATATCTTGGATCCAATTTAATAATATATTCCATAAATATCTAGGAAATGTCATTTTTTAAGTCTTTTAAAAAAGAAATCAGTTAATTGCAGATGTTTACTAAAGTCATTTAGCTTATAGTGACATCTAGTGGCATTAACTATGTCTAAACTATTGAGACACGGGAGAAATCTATCTTGGTATAGAATAGTATAAAATGTCTACATCAACGATTTTCAACCTTTTTCATCTCATGGCACATATAAACTAATTAATAAATTCGGCAGTGCACCAAAAATATATTTTTGCAAACCTGACAAAAAAAATAGATATAATTTTAATTCCTTCACACTGAACAGCTATTGTGTTGGCTGTTGTCATATTTTTATTTGACAATCTAAGGCAAAAAAAGTCAGTGCCCTTGACTAAATAGTCAAGTATTGCATGTTTTAAATATTCTTGCAGCCCACCAGTTTAAAATTACTGGCCTGCATACTTATGAAACAATTTTAGTGCAGTAATTTTTGTCACAGTTTCATGCTGATTGCTTTTATCTTTTTGTTTCATTTTGTTTTAGAAATTTGAATTTTAATTATTTTATTGTCCAATATTATTTTTCACTCTCGTGTATTTTATTATAAGCATTAGATTTACATTGAAGGCTGTGAGAATGTGGATATTAATTGTCAGGATATTTATCTGATTCGTAGTAGTAATAATAAGATTGATATGTAATATAAAGTAATAATTTTTTTGATTCATATAAATATTTTGGTTTAAGAAAATTCTTTCATGGACCATAAATTTCATATTAATGAAGGATTTTCCATACATTTGACATTTACTTTTAAATATTTTTCTGATAACTTGTCATGTGTTGAAGGAATTTGGAATCCCATTACTCTGTCAGTATTTTTCTAACAGTAGAGAGGTCATGGAATATGAAATTCTGGCTATCACAAATTCCAAGAATGCAGTGTGAAAACATGCTTTCAAAACTTTCAAAATAGTTGATGATATAGTATTTTAAATTATCTGAGTATAAATTCCTTTTTTTTAGCTTGGTAAAAATTTTCTTTAATAGGGAAACTTCTCTTTGTACTTGTCGTAAATGGAAAGTAAAGATTATGTTGGTACATCTGAGCTCTTGGTCCAACTATGCCATCACCTACCTGGGAACTTGGGAAAAGATACTGTCTTTGGATCTCAGTTTCTTCATCTGTAGAATAATAATTTCAAAGTTTCTTACAGCTACAAACTCCATGACACCTTAATGTGCCCGGCATCTGCTCATGGAGTCTATTTGCAGTGTTTATATTCCCATTAAGAATCTATTAGTAAGGGGAAGAGATCAACCAAAGGACTTGTTTGCATGCATATAAGCCTAACCAGTGGACACAGACACCAGGGAGGTGAGGGCATGAGTGGGGGAATGGGGTGCGGGGCAATGGAGGGATAAGATCACATATGTAATACCTTAATCAATAAAGAAATTAAATAATACATACATAAATCAATAGATATCTTTTAAGAGAAAAGTAAAAAAAAAGAATATATTGGTAGAATCTAATTCTCTACTTTGGGGGGGGGGGATTTTAAAAGATCTCTGTTATTAAAAGTATTACATAGGTCCTCCTAACCTCTTCCAGTCCGCTCCCATCCACCCCCCTCAGGTCCTCACCACCCCATTGTCCCTGTCCAGAGGTTATGCATATATGCATACAAGTTCCTTGGTTGATCTCTGCCCACCACCCTCCCCTGCATTACCTCTGAGGCTAAACAGTCTGTTCATGCTTCTAATTAAAGTTGATATTCAATATTAATTTCAGGTGTATCACATAGTGATTAGACATTTATATAACTTACAAAATGACACTCCCAATAAATCTGGTACCCAGCACTTGAGACACATACATATGCTTTACAAACATTGAATGCTCAAAAGAGCTATATGATATAGATATTATTTTTATTTTTTTCAGAGGAAGACATTGGAAATCTAGAGAAGTTATTAATTTTCAAAGAATTCTAAAATTACATTAAAGCATGGATTTTATCCTAATTGTGTCCCAAAGTTTATGTACTTTCACTGTATATTTTCTCCTAATGTACAAATTTTGGATTAGAAAGGAAACTGTTAAAAAATGGATCACTATTATTTTAAGCAATAGATAAAGATTGCATGCTTCCTTATTTAAGTTTTAAAACATTCCCTCAGTCCAAGAAAAATCTAGTCTCGTTTTTTTCCCTATGCAGTTTGCACCCATTCATAAACCCATGAGAACAATCTCAATCTCCTTTTGTTAAGCAAAATGTGCCTTGGATATTGTCTAATCCAGCACGGTCATCTCAGAAATGAGGATTCTGAGGTGACTAAAATGTAGATGACAACCACATAACAAAAAATAACAGTTAGAATTAGAGTTCTGGCCTTCCAACTTTTTATCATTTGCTCTTATCAAAAATTATAGGTTTTTTTCTTTATGTATAATTCTTTGCCCTCATTTAACCAGCTTTCTTGGAATTTTCTGGACAGGTTTATTTTATACTGCTACTTTCTAGCAGCCACCTCTTTTGAAATATTCTTATGTTCTGCCTACTATGTATTTTTCCCCAGAGCTTTCTTTTTAACAAGTTTTTTCTATTCTGTAGTTTTTCATCAAATATTTATGGAGCACAAGCTTTAGATAGATATGTAAGGTATTAGTAATTTATGAGGGAAAATTAGGAATTCAAAGGAAATTATAGGAAAATAAGAGTTTTCACCTGTGAACTGCTTACAGTATGATAAATTAAACTGATTTTCAGACGTTTCTGAACTTCTGATTTAGGGCAGTTTCTACTAAAAAGACAGCCAAATCCAGTACTACATTTGTCCACTGTTTTGCTACATTTATAAAGTGCTTATGCATGATTTACAGCCTTCTAGAATACATTTGGCTATTATCAATGGACCCTGAAGTATGCATTTTAATTTGCTTCCCTAAATTTATATTTCTCTATATAATTTCAATGTTATCCACAAGAAAATCTTCTAACATTATGAATTTTGAAACCAGGTGATTAGAAATATGCTTTAATATAGCTTTATGGCTACTTTTCCTCAAGTAATACTGTCCAAATCCACTGGAAATGGACTTTATTGGAGAATTGTGTTTCCCCCTGACAGTAGATCTGGTTTCTTGTAGGTCCAATTTTATTTTAATTAGGTAGCAATGTTATTGTTACAGTTTTAAATAAATGAATTGTAAGGAACAAATCTTTCCAATAAAAAGAAAAATCCGGTGTATTCGCTCAGAGGATATAGGTATAATACAGGAAAAAAGGAGAATTGTGGAGAGAAAGTAATGTTTTAAAACATGGCATGGTCTGGTGGGACTTTTCTGTAGCACCAATCATCACACTTTCAATGCCATTTAAAAATCAAATGATACATTATTATGCTTCTTAGAAAGGAAATTATTTTGATCCAACTCAATTAAAGTAGAATGCCTACCACTAAAAGCACTTATAGGTCAAATTACAGGACCTCTCCCGGAATTTAATACTTTTTCAGGAAATGAACAAACTTGTCTTTCCAAATTAAAATGAAGGCCACCCCTGGGCTTCTCTTCCCTTCTTCTACCTTTCTTACTGAGCTTCATTTTCCATTTCCCAGAATTCTGTAGAAGACGCTCTGGGAGCTTGCAGAGTGTTTTCGATGGATTTGAAGATGGTATTGCTGACATGCTAAACTACTCTGTTTATATTTTGCTGACTTGGTAAATGAATAGGGATATTTGCAGGAAGTGTGTTTACTCTATTTAAATATCTTCTTTTAAAGGGATCATGTAAAATGAACTATTGAACATATTTCAAAAGCCACTCATAAGCAATTGCCCCACGCTGGCTATTTCCTGCT